TGTGTGTGTGTGTGAGAGAGAGAGAGAGAGAGAGAGAGAGAGAGAGATGGCTGTAAATGATATAGATAATCTCATCCCTAACAAATTTATTAAATCGGGGAAGGGATAGTGGGGCGGAGACAGATACACACAAACAAATTTATATAAGCAAGGATTATCCAGCATGGCAAATTGCTAATATTTGAAGGTTTCAGCAGGAAGACAATGTCACACAAAAAAGGCACCTCCAAGACATCCATATTGCTTGAAAATATGTTGTCCTTAAGAATGGAAATCCAAGAATTAATGAAGCTGGGTGATTATGTCTAAAAATTGGACAATTTTCTCATTGACAGACTACAACAAGCATGTATCCCATGGTGTGTGTTCATTAAAAACACAGACTACAACATAACTGACACAATTTACAACCAACTTCACTTAAAAACACAGACTACAACATAACTGACACAATTTACAACCAACTTCACTGTCTCAACGAGTTAGGTCCCTGTCACATTTTACAGGATTGCTTCGTAACAGTGAAATGAATTATATTTACTACAAGAAGCTACATAAACTAGTCTGAACTATATATTACAAGAAGAGATATTATATGACATACATAACATCATAATAGCACTTAATTGAATTTAATGAACCAATTCATATGTAAAGTTAACGTTTGGGCACATGCCTTCCAATTTTAAATGTCATAAGCCACTGATAAAGGAGCCAATTACAAATCAAGCGGCACAAATCAAATATCTGTGGCACATAAACAAGAAGCAGCAGAAAAAAAATGTAATGACAATTTTTGACAATAACAATCCATTTTAAGAGGCAGTAAACTGTAAACAACACACAAAGTTAAATGCACAAGTGATAGACACAGATAATCTGCAAAATAATGTAAACAGACCAAGAGCCTTCGTTTTCTTCTGTTTTTCATCACCCAAACCCTGGTCAGTCCCCTCTGTAACTATTTCGGGAACTGCCACCGGAGCTTGACCACTTTCTGAAAGTGCAAGCCACTAAATTCCTCCCAGCAGTAAGCCCTAACCTCGCCTTGAACAAAGTCGACCTCCCAGTACTGCGAGATGCTACATCACCATTACCAACTTGAGCAACTACTTGAGGGTTCTCCATGGGAATTTCCTGCACACCATTTTCACTAGCGCTTGCATCCACATTCTCAGGTTCAGTGGTATCCAAGATCACAGCCAGAGATCCCCTACTCGCCCTCAACCAATCTGCACCCACAGATGTCACGGCCCTACACTTCTTCAGTTTCACCTTCACCAAATTTGGACAACCACTAGCAAGCACTTCCATACCATGATTAGACACCGGACAACTCTTAATACAGAGCTTCTTCAATGCTATACATTTCGCAGCAATGCACGAAATCTCCTCATCCCCAACAGTCTCACTTCCACACAAAGCTAATCTTTCCAAATTCAAACAGTTCGTAGCCAAATTCTCTAAACCCACCCTGGTTGGATTCACACCAATAAGAACTAATTCCTGTAAATTAGGACAGTGTTTGGCAACCGCAATTAATCCATCATCACTAATCATATTTGTTTTCCACCCATCAATGTGAAGCTTCCTTAGTAACTTACAATTTTCCGCAACAGTCTTAAGCCCCAAATTAGTACATTCAGGTGTTTTCACAAGATGCAAAATTTCAAGACTCAAACAATTCGAAATCGCAGCTAAACCAACATCACTAACCTGAAGCCTCTCCAAATGAACTTCAACTAATCCAGTAACATGGTCAGCAATGGCTTCCAGAAGCTTATCCCAATCACCGTAACACCTAAACAGCTTCAACGTCCTCAAGTTCTTCGCGCCGGTGATCAGAGGTCCAAAACATTGTCCATTGTAAAGCTCTTTCAAACAAATAACTTTAAGAGATGATGCGGCCACACCGGGCCCAATCGGCTCAGACGCAGCTCCATCGGTGATTCCGCGTAGGCGTTTCACAGATAATTCCTCGAGCGATGAACAATTATCCAGTACGGCGTTCATTCCTTTGGCTCCAAAAGTACACGATCCACAGGATAATTTCTTCAAATTTTTGCAAGTTTTAGCGAAACTTGCCATTCCGGTGTCGGTGAGTTCACGGCAAGCTCGGAGCTTGAGACGAGTGAGTTTCTGGCATCGATAAGAGATGAGGACCAACGCGTCGTCGCCTATACTCACGGAGCTGCGGCCACATTTGAGAGCGAGCTTCGTGACGGCGTCGAAGCGAGAGAAGAGAGAAGGAATCATGGAGATGAGTTCCGATTGGGCATTCAGGGACAGACGGTGACGGCTCTGTCCCTCGATCTGGAGCCACCGGCGACAGACGAGCGAGCATAGATTGCGATCTCTGGATCCGAGGGATTGAAAAACGCAAGCCAAACATTCGTCTGGTAGGTTCGATATGTAATCCGAGAACTCTCCACCGGCAACGTCATCTGAGGAATCAAAATCTCTGGATTGCATCGGAGAGTTGTGGGCCCGTCCATGGCCGTGATTGGATTCCAGGCGGGTTTGGGCGCCGGAGGCAGTCGAAGCTGCCTGGCCCATCCACGGGGAGTGTATGACAAGACGATGAAGCTGCGCACAGTGAATCTCAGCCCTCCTTTGCTGTAGGTGGAGGTTGGAGCTTCTGATTCTTACTCAGGTGGCTCTTTCCATTTCTCTTCTTCCATTCGTCAAATGAAGAATAAATTACACTTAGGCTCCTTGAACTATGTCCCTTGTTTCACATTACCCCTTAATTTTTTCTCTTTCTCACATTACACCAATCTTTAATTTGAGCAATGTTATTTGAACAAATTTATTGACCTAATTTGCTGACATAATTCATTATAATCATTGAATTGACTATAGACTCCATCAAACGTTAGAATTTAATGTTAATTCAAGTGTTAAAATAAAGTTACATTATTAGATCAATAGATTAGGTCAAATTTTTAGGTTTCAATATCATACTCTTTTAATTTTTGTCCATTTCACTTGGACAAAACAAAAATTTCCACAATAACAGGGGCCATTATCTTTCCATCTACAGTTAGTAGGATTGATAATTGAGCCTAAAAAATTATTCTAGTTTACCTCGTTTAAAAAATAAATCAAGCCTGAGTTGAACCTAAAATGAGTCAAACTCAAACCGAGCTTAAGTAGCTCAGCTATTTTATATATAAACTAGTTGAGTTTTATAAATTCGAAACTCATTTTTTAAATGAGTCTAAAAAATTATTCATGGTCGACACATTTACAACACACATTGAAGTCGAGTCAAATCATATTTGAATTGAGCCTGAATAACTTGACTCAATTATCAGCTCTAATAGTTAGATCAAATTCATTTCTAGTAGTTGATTTGTCATGAAAAATAGAAGAACACGAGCAACAATTGCTGGTTGTGTGAAACTCAAACTAACAATTGAAGTTATAATATGAGAAATTAAACAATTGAGAAAATAATGTGAAATAACAAACATAGTTTAAGGAGAGTAAGTGTAATTTACTCCAAAGTTAATTTTCAAGGGTTTGTGGCCTTTGAATTATCTGGATTCGGGAAAGTTGAATTCTTGTATTCCTCCACTCGTGAGTAAAATTAGCGTGCGGAGCGACCTCACGTGTCTTCCGTGATGGTTGCTTTTCGTGTCTGCATTCCACGCCACTGATTGTTTGAAATCGTATAAAGAAATGCATTGACCGGTGACTGGTGGACTGCTGGTAAGGGATCGACAAATATTTCAATACATTTCTTTTTAATTTTTTTCTCGATATATCTTTTCATGCATTGTTTTAAAATTTGACCCGGACATTAATTCAGAAGAGCGATCAGGTCAATAAGTTACTAATTCAACTATTGGGTCACTGATCGAACCGGTTATATAATAAAAAAATAATAAATAATAATAAATGATAATAAATAAACTAAAAATCAAAATAATTGTCAAAAATAACATGCTTAATGTATACCGGATCAAACAAAAAACCCCAAAAATCATCAAGTATTAATTCAATTTTCCTAACCTGCAGAATGTAGAGCAATTCTTCCACAAAATATTTATTATTAAATCCTTACTCTTCTTCATTTTTCCCCAACAAATAATTTCTTGTCTTTGACATTAGTAACAGTAACTCAAAGGAAACACCTAGATGTATTATATGTAATGTGAGTTCTAATTTTCTTGTCATTTTTAGATTCATAACAATACACCAAAAATTAGGCACAAACATCATTCATTTTCGGTAATCATCTTTGCGATAATATTGATATATTGGCAAACACAATAAAAACCAAAGAACGAAATTAAACAAAGAAATACAACTTGATGGGTCAGACCCAAAGGCCCAACCCATGTTATAAGTCTAATTCGAGCTAAAGGCCCAATTTTAAGAGATCCAGCTAGTCAAGTCCAAAGGAGTCTACACCTGGATAACCTTATCAAGATCAAGGAGCTACATCATCAGGAGAGCATGCACGGTCATCCAAGAGTCTCTTCTATTACCTTGGAGTAAGGGTCATCCAAGAGCCTTCTCTACGCCACCAAGGGAGCATCCAGGAGCCTCACCCTTGCAGCCTAGAGAGAGTTAACCTCCCTCATCCTTGACCAAGTCCTTTGGATAGCACACCAACCATCACACCTCGCGCTGTTGAGAAGATGATAGATTGCCTCCATCGGATTAGCTACCTAATTACTATCAAACGGTCCTAAGCCATAATGACCGTCAGAATAGTCATACAATTACTACGTCAAACCACTATAAATTGTAAGCTCATCTGACACTTGGGGGGCATCAGACTCATTTGAGCATAATTCTCTCCTCCCCTCTCAAACCTTGTAATCATATGCTCTCCCTCCACACCGGATATAATAAAATTTCGGCGAACCTAGCCATTCAAAGTGGACATAAGTTGTATTGACCGAACCACTACAAATCTTGTCTTCTCTCTCCTTCTATTTGCTGCATTTTATACTACAACTTGACTAGTGGTGTGCAAACTAATTTGTGCATTATCAGTTTGACGCCGTCTATGGGAATGACAGTTCTCACCTAGCCACTTTTCTTTGCTGAATCAAAGTCGTTCACCAACAGATCTATGAATCAGCCTGAAGATAACCCACCACCAAGAGAGGAGAAGGTTGTTCCTTAACCAACCAATTCTGCCTCAAATAAGCAGCAGATGCTCGAGACCATGTAACAACTTGCGGCCCAGAACCAACAGATCCTACAACTAATGCTCCTTGGGCGTCAAGGAGCTCTCCACATGGGTGCTCCTCATCTAGGAGGAAGAGCACAGCCTAGACCTCAAGTTAGAGGAACTGCACGCCCTGGGCGTCAAGGAGCTGCCCACATGGGTGCTCTTCATCTGAGCGCCCCAAACAAGGGAGCTCCCCACAAGGGACCTCCACCTCCTCTTCCAACTCCCTCTTTTCATGGTGTAGACCCTCTTTTTCAAGAGGAAGAGGGTGAAAATCATAGCTTGGAGCATGGGAGCCATATCCATGGTAATTCCAAGGGACCTCCTCCTAATCATTGGAACAAAAAAATTAAGGAGGTATAGAATCAATTGAGTGATGTCTTCAACGCCATGAAGGCACGAGGACCCGAGATAGTGGATTACCTTATAAGTCGAACCGACACACCTTTCAAACCTAACGTGGCGAACTACCCACTCCCTTAAAAATTCAAGATGTCATCCGTCGAAACCTTTGATGGTACGAAGATCTATTGGACCACCTTGAAACTTTTAAGACCTTAATGCAACTGCACAACGTTCTTGACGAAATCATGTGCAGAGCATTCCCAACCACCTTGAAGAGATCCGCTCAACAATGGGTTTGCCAAGATTACCCGCCGCTTCCATCGGCTCATTTGCTGAGCTGAGCAGGTCCTTTGTGTTGCACTTTATTGGAGGACATCGTCACCAAAAGCCTGCCACCCACTTGCTCAGCATAAAGCAGGACTGAGATGAGAGCCTGTGAAGCTACCTCACTTGTTTTAATGAGGAGGTCCTTCAGGTCAAAAAGCCAGATGAAAAAGTTAGCATGACCGCCTTCTTGGGAGGCCTTCAGTCATCGAGCTTCCTTTTCTCTGTGATGAAACGCCCACTAAAGAGCATGCCAGAACTATTGACAAAAGTTCAAAAATTTATGAATGTTGAGGAAATCAACAGGTCCAGGCAAGGTGAATCATCTCACGGATCGCCAAAAGCTTGACCTACCTCTACACTGTTCTTAAACAGGTAGTTTATCTCCAGCTTAGCGGCTCTCTCGAGGGTCATCAAAACATTTGGCCTACCTCTACACTGTTCTTAAACAGGTAGTCTATCTCCATCTTAGCGGCTCTCTCGAGGGTCGCCAAAAAGATTGGCCTACCTCTACACTGTTCTTAAACAGGTAGTCTATCTCCAGTTTAACTGTTCTCTTAAAGGTCGCCAAAAAACTTGCCTACCTCTGCACTATTCTCAAATAGACAGCCTATCTCCAGTTTAGCGGCTCTCTCGCGGGTTGCCTAAAAAGCTTGACCTTTGCACTGTTCTCAAACAAGCAGTCTATCTCTCGGCTCTCTCACGAGTCGCCAAAAAAGTTTGGCATCTGCTCTGCTCTCAAGCAAGTAGCCTATACCTCAAGCTTAAAAACTCTCTCATGGGTCGCCAAAAACTCGGTCTCAAAAGATGTAGCTCTCTCACGAGCAATCCTCAAATTTTGTCTTGTTCTCGCGCAAGCAGTTTGCCTATCTCTTTAGGTAATTATGTTAAGTATTTTAATATTTAGAATAACATTATTTTTGTCATCATAAACAGATTCACCCATCTCAACTCGGCGACATAAAACCCGTTGAGNTCTTTAGGTAATTATGTTAAGTATTTTAATATTTAGAATAACATTATTTTTGTCATCATAAACAGATTCACCCATCTCAACTCGGCGACATAGAACCCGTTGAGGGATATGATAAGTAGAAACAATCCTCAGAATATCATGGAAGAATTTGATTTTGAGAAGGTGCACTGAGAGGAGCTGAACTATCACCGCTGAAAGTGTCTGGCGTATTCTGGCCCAGGCTCCAGAACTAGGCTCGCCAAGAAATTCTTGAGCAACCTCGCTTGCATGGGCGAGAACTAAACTCCCTAGAGGGGCATCCAAACCTCCTTGACTACCTGAACTCCTCGAATCATCACCAAAAGTGGCACCCAAAAATTTCTTGTATTTTGCACTACTCAACCCAATGCTTAGAGAGGCGTCTGACCCCCTCTACTCTCCCAAATGGGTAGCCCAGTGCCTAGAGAGGTGTCTGGCCCCTCTGCTCGTACAAGCGAAATAGTCCTACAGGCACCCAACCATTTGTGCTCGCCCAAAATGGCGCCTTTTGGTGCCTTCACGCCAAGACCAGCCTTCTTTCCACCTCCCTGCTCACCAAGATCAGAGCCCCTAGGCGCCTGATGGACCAGATCAGCACGCGCAACGTGTAGGCTAGCATGCATGAAGATTCGAGCATCCCTCTCACTTACTGTGCGAACTGTAGCAACGCACAACGATGTCGCCTGCTCGCCCAGGCCCTTCTCGGCGCCTGCCTTCCCATCTTCATGCCAGACTACCCCTCTTACATGAGCAAGTTGCTCCTCAAGATGACCTGAAGTGGCGCTTAGGCAATTCCCCAGCTCACCCGAGGCCTCTTGCTCGTCCAAGTTCCTTAAGTCAGTACCCTAAAAGGCGCCCAAGGCCTTTTGCTTGCCTAAAATAGCGCGCCCAGCTGCATGGTCGCCCAAAACTGCATACCAGTGCGTCTACTCGCTATTTTAGTTGTAAATTTTGTTATGTAAGTTAAAATGGGATATATTATATATCAAATTGAAACTCTCGACAAACTGAGCAAAACTTATTACCATTGGTAATGAGCTTTCCAAAAAAAGTCCAAAAAACGTCTAGAAAGAGGTGTTTTGGCCTCCCAAAGTTTTTTTTTTTTAAAAAAAAAAAGAATTTGCCCAGGAGATTGTATGCTCGCCAGGAGGTGGCTTGCTCGCCAAGGAGGT